TATTTTAGCTATTTTAAGAGGATATAAATCCGCGCTCTAATTATTACTATGCATACTGTGTTTATTTAAATAACCGAATATTGTAGGTATAGTGTTTTTAAAAACTATATAAAAACGAAATTTCCCATTAAATTGTCCTCACACCCTTGAAAAAATATTTGATCACTGACTGTAACATAATGTGTTGCGTGTGTGTATAATATTATGTAGTATTGTATTCGTATTATATAAAATACATTGATTGGTTTCGAACATTTCAGACGTAAAATTATATTTTTCATTTATTTTACGAATCATATTTACTGTAATAATTGAATTAACGTACGATTTCTCATATGGGATTTAAGACGATTCACTTGTAAAAATACCCACAGAAAATGATTATTGCGATTATTTCTCGCGTTGTAATTTCGTTATTATCCAATCATAAAAACGAAGACTACTATCTATATATAGAAATAATATATGTATATATATATATATATATTGGAACATGTCTATTGTGTTTAGTTTCTACATTATGTAAGTCCGTTAAAATAATAATTGTTATTTTTCGTCCTACGTGTCAGCGGACAGCTGCGAGGCGTCCCGCCCGAGTGATAATCGAGAATTATTTTATCAAAGGGATTATGTACGTACATCGTCGCTGTGATATAGTAAGCGCGTCACAATGGTGGATTACCTACATGACAAATTCAATTCAATTCTCTCCTCCCTGTCGTACCGTGCACGTCATCGAAATATAATTGAAATGTCTTCTTTCATAAATTCGATCGTTTTCTGTTGGTTTCCATCAATATTTCACAATGCGATACGCTCGTGGCATTTTAAATTATGCCGTACCGTTCATATTCGACATTCTTATTAATATTCTATTTTATTTCAATAGCTGTACGGGCTAAAGTACAAATTTTACGAGATTAAGTATCTGGGCATACAGGCCAATACTTTACTACTTCCCAGTGCTACTACAACTATATGATCAATACAAATTGATTTATTTTAATACCTACCTTAGTATTTAAACTAAAACTGAGCCTTAAATCAAGTAAGGAAACATGATGTGTTCATTTTCTAGTCGTATGAAACGTCTTGTTAAAGAAGAGTATGGATAGTATATTATTCAGTTGAAGCCGAAAAATATGATCTCGTTTGACGAATAGGGAATCTAATATTAATTTAAGAAAGTAGTGTACCAATCTTATTGGTGAAGAGTTTTGATAAAAATATAGTCAAACCAGTGGCGGCTTGTATGCTCGTAACATATGACATTTATCCAAACTATATTTTTTCTCTTTTTAACCTTTTCGGTGCCCAGACACTTTTTGCAATTGAAAACCTACAGGCCTAGGTTCTTTTTGCTTCCATATTCGTCTCCTTCCATAATCTATGTAAAGTATAGGTACTTTAAACAATTGTCTCAAAAAAAAAATAATAATAATTGAATACATTAGTTATTTACTTAGTGATTGAAAATTGTTTTTGGTCAATATGGTTTCCTAAGATTATTTATATTTTTTAATTATGACAATTTTGTTAATCCCAGTTTTAGTCTTCTTGGCCTAGTACGAAGCTATTCATTAGGTACAGCAATTCATAAATTCTTATCAACACGACGTGTAGTTACACCTACATCCATTTTAAAAGTAAATTTTATGTAGATTTAATTGAAACATATTCAAACAAATATTCGGTTTATATATATATATATACTTTAAGATTTATTTGAGTTAAAATATTTAAAATCGTATTATCAGTTAAAATATTATTGATAATTTGAATAGACAATTGCAATACACTACACAATTTCTATAATCAATCTTTTCTTCTATGAAAATATGCATTTCTATAGTGTCAAATTGTTATTTTATCAATTTGACCCAAGAGTTGTACATAAAATGTGATTATATTATATCATCTAGGAAAGCCACTTGGCGTTTGTGGTATCAATACGAGCGATTATAATAATATTATAAAATGTATTCTGTGAATTATGATACTGTTTATTGTTAACTGTTTAGTGTTACATTCATATAAATGTATATTATATTAATTATTTACATTTTATATTAATATATACCTATATTTATAGGTATATATTTTTGATCAGTGAAGACTATTGATAGTAATATTATGATTAATATTTAAATAAGATCATAAACAAGGCAGAATCAGTGAGAGGGATGGGAGTTCAACCCTTCTCTCCTCAAAGAATTGTTCGTAATATATTATGTTGTGGAAAATAATTATTTCAGTTAAATTATACAGAAATACATATTTAAATGCGAGATAACTGAAAAGTTTCTTTTTTTCATAATAGCATTATGTTTTTGTTAAAATTAATAAATAATTTTATCAATTATATGTAACAAAATTATTTATAATAACAACTACCAAAGACCGAATTATTTGATTTCCTTGCCGTCTAGTGGCTTCGTAGAAACTATTAAGCCATAGTTTTAACTCACACATAGCAAGTCCAAAGTTTACTAAATTAGTAACACACATATTATATCATAGCATTATATAAATAAATAACGGAAAAATCAAATTGATTTAATAAAAATAATAATTTGGGACATGAAAATATGTTTAAAAAAAAATTGTAGAACACAATGCATTAATGTCACTAATGACTAATAAGTCCCTAATGTGTAAATGTTTTAAAAATAATACTTGATAACCATTGGTAAAAAAACAATAGTATATATTTTGTATATAACTTCTTTGGATATTGTAATACTTATCTAGAAATAGTACTGTTTGTCTCAACGAATGACTGTATCAGCGCTAAATGTTTATTATTAATACATAATTATGAGATATTATCGAAAACGTACTGATGCATCAATGACTATGTAATGTGTTTCTCTGTGACGCACTGCCATTGACACTACTTAATAGCCTATTATTAATACAACGTTTATTAAAAATATTATTATAATATAATGCAACATATTTAATTATAAAAGTATCTATATGTAGATTTCAGAACAAACAATAAGTATGTATTTTGCTAATATATAATTATACTATACCGACTAAAATAAATTAAATTACGCAATATACTCGGACTAGTTAGTGTTGATATATTGCATTTTTATGGACACCATGTATTGAAATAAATCTTTTAACATTTTCCACAATTCCCATTTGTACACAATCTGGACCTATATCGCTTTTTTCTCTTTCATTACTTTCACAACCCACCATACTTTCGACTCTCCAACTAAACCTACCATACCTTCTTCTATGAAACATTCTCAAACAACTCTCTTGGACAATGTTCATAAAGTAATTTCTCAAAATATCCCTTCCATATCTCTTTTATATTCTTATTTTTCGTTAATAGCCTTTTATCTTTACTTTTTACACATGTACATTATGAGTTTCCCTGGACAGTTTTTCTCTAATCTTGGCCAATCGATAAACTGCTTTTTCCTAACTTTGTTCCTAATCGTTTATACAACTTATCATATTTCTTCAATTTTCGATTTCCTTACCACTCTTTTAGTTCCCTTGCATATTATTTTGTACTCTACCCAATCACCTCTCTTTCTGTTCTGCTGCCAAAGCTTAAATTATATTTTTTTATTATCTGTGACTCTCTGAACTTCCTCATCTCACCATGAAGTTTCATTCTCCTCTGGCATACTACTCCTACTTTGACAATCAGTTTGTGATGATTTCAATATAAGTGACCATCCTTTCTCCTCCCTTAGTTTATATAACAGATAATCTACGGGCTCGTCTTTTGAAACTCTTGTTATTATCATTACACGTACAATATTTCTGGATTTTATTATATTATGCGAGAAGAACGCATTTATGTCGCATTTTACATTTTGACTGTGATATAGGTACCTGATAATGAATTCGAAATCAGTCGTATAATACACTTATCATAATACTCCAGGCAACGCATTCATTCATTTATTTATTTTTATTTCTATATATAAATTTTGTATTCATATATTTATTTAATATATTTATTATTTTATTTCCTGGGACCGCCAAAATCTTGTGATTAAATCTGTTTCAGAATATTTATCACAAATTGTTCAATCTTATGTTAATACATCAAGAATATTCCGTATTTCACTAAACTCTACCTTTGATATAGCTTATAATGATCAGGTTTCTTTTATCATTAGGTATGTTAATGAAATTGATGGTAAAGTTATGGTAAGATTATTAAAATTAAAAGAATGTCAATGCTAGAATTTTTCTATAAGAATTATTTTTAAATGTTTGTTTCTAATTATAATTTTGATTAGAAATTAAATTTAGTGGGTCAGAAAATATCAAATATCAAATATGTTGAGACTGCAAACATGAATAAAAAGGGATTCAAGTTAAAATACTTGAACAAGATTATCAAACCCTATTTCTTTGGTGTTCAGATCATAGGCTAATAACAAGCCAAGGGATTGACCTATTAGGAAATTTAGAAAAAAATATTTACTTTTATTAGTGGAAGTAAAGTACGATCAGATTTTTTTTTTTAGAGAAAAACAGTTATAACTATCAAAAACAACAAATAAGACAAATAATAACAACAAAACGTATAAAAACTACTGAGACGGAGGAACAGATTTCAAACTTTGTACTGAATGTAATGGATTGCTTAGCTACTGAATTTTTATTATTTTTTAATGATTGCTATTAGCTTTAAAAATATTTTTAAAATACTTGAACCATTGACCCAGACATTACAACCCCGTGAAATAGATAATTTAGTAACAACTTAATATTTAATTAATAGTGTTAAAGAATCTATAGTAGCAATGAGAACTGAAGAAACATTTTAAAATATTTTAATGTAAGCAAAAGAATTTAATATATGACACACATATATATATATATTAACCTTTCATAATAATCTCATATGAATGACTAATACATAATTACTAAATTACTACTTCATACTAAATTTCAAAAAAAAAAAAAAAAAAAACTTATTTTATTATTATTAATTTTAATATACGTAGTACAATAAATTATAGAATACTATATATCAATAAACTTGGACAGCATTTAAATTGATTTGTTCTGCAGACTCTTTTCTGATCATAGTGCTTGTTACATATATCATCATATTCTGCCCATAAATGTCTTGACTCCGGACATATGGCAGTGTAGTGTCCGAGTGGGTTTTTTGATAATTGTGTACTTAATTGTATATTTGCAGTTGGTCGAATGAAATGAATTATTCCTCTTAGTTTGTATGTTTTTTTTTCTTCGCAGACAGTTATTGAAAATGATTGAGGGATACATTTTAGTTCAATGTCCTTTTGAGAATCAGCATCTTCTACCTCAAAAAACATAAAACTCCCTGTAACAAATAATACCTTCAATTTAAAATTGTGAAAAATTGAAATGTCTAATTTAACATTTAAAATCAAATTATTTTGTTTATTTTATTTTATTTTAGTTTTTTTTTTAAAGTTTATAAATAATTTTACCTGTCATTTCTAATTTCGTTTCTACCATTGATGTACAATATTCACAGGGACGTACTGGAAGGCTTAAATAGTCAGCAATTAAATCGTCAAAGTTTTCATTTAAAAGTTCTTTATATGGAATAGTCACATATGCCCTCTTTTTTGGTAAATTTGTGCATCCATTTGCACATTTAGAAACTTCCTCACAACTTGGATCATTGCGGAATGTGTGAAGAATTACATGTGGTACACTAATGGCACAATTTAAAAATAATCTTCCATGGAAATCCTTCACTCGTGATTTGTCATTTTCTAAGTACTCGTGAAGCAGGTTTATTCGAAGCTCATTCGCCTGCGGATCCTTCCAACCATGAATTATTACATACTGTGCCATTTTAATAAACGAATTTTTACTAGTTTTGAATGCTTCTTGTAAGCTGCTGTTATTCTTTAGGGCCACTATTATTACTTGTAAAACTGAATCGAAAGCACAAGTGTTGTTGACATGTTTTTGGGGAAGCGTATCATCAACAAAAGAGATACTCTTCATTATTTGAGTTTTGAAATTATTTAGATAATTCATTACGTTAAATAGATACGGTTTCTTATTGGAGTATTCTTTAGTATCATTTTCCGGTTTTTCTGCAATTTCCCCCGAACCTTCCAAATGTTCTTCAACATTTGAAGCAACAATTCCTGTAGCACTTGAATTTGTTTCACATACATCTTCACTTGTATCAGCCATTTAATTTCTGGAACAGTGATACAATTTGATATTTAAATATCTCAGATATTATAAATTATAATGGTATTTAAATGATACACAACTACATTATAGGCATTACAATTATTATATTATTTATTTAAAATTTTGATTACACATATTTTGAAAGGCCATAACATTTACGATTTTCGTCAAAATTTGATCTAATACTTTTATAAAAAAAAAAATTACATTACACTCAATTTTTTTCTTTTTGCCACTGGGTACGACTTATGAACCTTCTGTTAAAATTTTAGCATTTCTGTTTAGTCTGACAATTTAATCCATATATCATACCTATCAAATGAAAATCACGCAAAAAACTAGCAAAATTAAAATGTCTATAAATAGCTTAAAAATGGCTCAAATGTTTTTAAAATGTTAATACTTCTAGAAAAAGCAAATTATAAATTTTAAATATTTTAAGTGTCTACGAATATTTTTTTAACTGAATTATAATAAAAAAACAAAATTGAAAACAATAAAACCATTATTTTTACAAGCTTTCTCGTTCTTTTTCGTTTTTATTCAATTATTGTACAAATTACACAAAAATTTAAAAAGACTTTCTCATTAACGAACCACTATAAAAATTCAACAAAAACGGTCTCTTGTTATTTTTCTATTGGATTTTTCTATTCTGGTAGAAAACATAAGTTGTATAAATTTAAAATAAAGAAATCGTGCGGCATAAATTAGTTTGTATTTTATATATCATCTTTTTTTTAAATTCCTAGTTATTTTGAAAACTACTTGGACAATCAAAAAACTATTGAGCAAAGAAATTCAATAGAAATAGGTCTCCTGTATTTTTTTATATAGAAGAAATATTTCTAGTAGAAAATATAGTTTACACAAATTAAAACAATGAGAGAAGATGTAACATTAAGTACTTATTTAACAATATAAAGTGTATGTGTATGTGATAACGTGATATAGTGTATGTAATATTCAATTATCATAATTCTTATCACTTATCCACCATTTTTTTCTCATAAAAATTCTGATTTATATTTTAATTCTAATATATTGATGAAAAACACATAAATTATGTGGTCGCTTGATTTTTAGAAGAGTAAAATTTAATGTGTAAATTTACCTTAATGATAAAACTAGTAAATTTACGAGACTCACGTCATTAAATAAGACACCTATCTATCTAAGAGCCGTATAATATGAAAAAGCACACGTCTCTTTGTTATAGTTGAATCAGTTATATTTAAAAACTTTAAATCACTGAAGTTAGGCGTAATATTTGAACTACGGTTTTGAGCGTCATGAAATTATTTTACCCTATTGAGTGTTCTCAACTGTACCTCAAACCCTCCAATAGGCCTGGTGAGAGGGGGTCAGGGTGATTCATCCCAGGTTCGGGATTTTTATACTGAATTAAGTGTTTTTATTTAAAAAATGGCATCGAAAATCAAAAAATGACCTCTTTAAAGTACAATTTAGAACACTTAAGCTTTCAGAAAAGATACTACACATATACATCAAAGGAAGTTTATTAGGAAAAAACGTGTCCACAGACTAGAACAAAGCAAAAAAAAAAAAAAAAACAGCATTGTAAAACCAATAGTTTATCTCGTTATGCCCAGAATTTAAAAGAAGTGTTTAATTTGAGAAATTCGGACCCTTATGAGTATCTTGTAAAACTCTAGTGCAAAATAATTGTACCATTTGGATTTTTGTAAAAATTTAAAATACAAAAAAATTCATCGCAAAACAATTTACAATTTATTCTTATTTCTCGAATTAATGAATTTAATTAGACTATAATAATGTGCTTTTACTTATTATATATAAAGCAAACTCTGAGTTTAATATATTATTAAAAAATTAAGTTAAACCGTCCACCATTTTATAGCTCGATACAATAACGGCGTTTGAAGCGAATTCTTCATTAGTTCACTAAATATTAAACAGATTTTCTTTTTAAGTTAAAGGAAATTGAAGGAAAACTAATTTTTATTTAATCTTTGGTGTTTATTTTATTAATATTATTATTGCCTCTTAATATTAAAGAGATGTTTACTTTGTGAAACAAATTCAAGAAAATAAATATAAAAAACAAGCTGAAACTGAAGACGGGTGTATTACTGTTGGGAAGACGGAAAGATAGGATACAAAAATATATTTAATTCATACCTGAAACTAACGATAAACCATTGCTAACGAAAGACGATTTGGTGCGAAGTTCGGTTATACCTTATAGATACATATTTTGAAAGGCTGTAATATCTACGATTTTCGTCGAAATTTGATTTAATACTCTTATAAAAAAAAATTACATTACGCTAAATTCTTTTTTTTTTTTTGTGTAGCACGTAATATGACTTATGACATATCCAATTTTCAAACACTTCTTTTTAGTCTATCAATTTTGTTCACAGAGTACCAAATAAAAGTAATCAAATAAAAATTTTGTAAAAACGTCGCAAAATTAAAATTTTCATAAATGGCTTAAATGTTTAAAAATTTACCACGCCTAGAAAAGACAAATATGAATTTTTTGCTTACCTTTTTTAATGATCATTTTCAACTTCATTACAACAAAAAAAAAAAAAAAAAAAAAAAANACTGAAGACGGGTGTATTACTGTTGGGAAGACGGAAAGATAGGATACAAAAATATATTTAATTCATACCTGAAACTAACGATAAACCATTGCTAACGAAAGACGATTTGGTGCGAAGTTCGGTTATACCTTATAGATACATATTTTGAAAGGCTGTAATATCTACGATTTTCGTCGAAATTTGATTTAAAACGGGGACGTTAAGGTTTCAATATTTCACTCTAAAATTGTGTTGGGATTTAAAACATGAACGATATATATTTATAAGATATAGTTATAAATATGTTAGAATGTTATAAATATTCAATTAAATCTCATTAACTTATAAGTATTAAAGTATATTAAAGATATATTAAAGTATCATTGGTCCCATTTTACACCACATGGGTTAATATCATTTTATTCCAAAGTGTTCACTTACCTACTTTCTTACAACCGTTGTAAGTAGACAAAACAATGAATTTTTATATTTCTTAATATTATAAATCAATGTTCAGAGCATTTAATTTAAAAACAGTACAAATAAAATTAATTTACAATAAACAAATAATACGATAATTTAATGAATAAATAACAATTTACTGTATCAAACAACTGATAATATTATGCACGTGTGATGATTAAAATTTATTACCCGGAGATCCAGGATCTTATATATCCGTAAAAAAAAAAGAATAGATGCCCCATATGGTTGAGAGTATTTTGAGGTTATATTCAAACAAATTGTATCTAAGTTCATGTAATATTCATTTTATAAATTTTATATTATTTAATATCATTTCAAAATAATTAAAGAGACTTTAAATTTTGTACTAAATTACTGTTTTATTAATTATTTCATAGTAAAAGATTATTAAATGAACACTTAGAAAATGTTACATATACTATACTGTACACATACTGTATAGTGTACACATACTGTCCGCGACACAACAAGTGGCCGGTGACCGATGCGATTCTAGCGGCCATTTCTAATTAGTTGGTATCAAAGACGTAAAACTAATTGCCGCGTCTTTTAAAATTAATTTATTCAAATGGCATATTATATGCTCTAACCTAACCTAAATTGTAAATTAAATAAGGAACCGCGTCACATGAAAAATATGTGCCGTGCGCCTATTGTGTAAACATCGCAGCGACGTGGTGTAGTTTGAGAACCAATGGCTAACGACCGGTTTATGGCGGGCTAGTGACGGGGCCTATCGGCCAGTTTTCGTGTGGCGGACTATAATAAAGCACTTATATACAAAAAGACACACCTGTACTGACGTTTTAAATACAACAAAGTACCAAACTACACAAGTCCGGACCATTATCGAAATGATTTTATTGACATTTTTGAATAATTAGTTATACTATGCTGTATATTTTGAAATTATAATTTATAACAAACAAAATAATATAAATTACAATAATAAACAATCTTAGTTTGTATATAACATCAATATACCTTCAGCTAGAGTGAGACGATTATCTATGAAAATAGTCTTTCTCTATTATACATTCCGAATAGCGATTGCAAATGCGGTGGCCTATCCATTCGTTATTATTTATTATATTCGATTTTGAAGCAATGTGACCGTTATAAAACATTTGATTTTCAACAAACAATTTTTCATAAAATTAATGAAAAATTTAAGATGGTTTTGAAAAGGGATTTTTTCTTTATATTGGTATTAATAAGATTATAGAAAAAAAAAAAATTTTTCGTATTAAAATATTGCAATAAAACATATCTTAGTAGGTACCTACTATCTATTAGTTTCAAACTAATAGATTCTTTGCTACATGCTAAGAATCCACAAAATTCAATTTTTTTAAAAATGTCTACGTACTAATAAATGTTTGAGGGATTATAAAAAACGAAAATTCCTTATTGAAAATGTATTAAATGTTGTCAACTTATTATCTTTAATTTGGTATAGGAATTTTTTTTTAAGTCTATATTATATAAACCAGAGTCTAGGTACTGTTGGATTTCCGAATACGCATTTTTGCTATATCGCCCGTTACAAAGACAGGGATGATAGTGTGACGTCCCTTTGAAGTATTGATGAAACTGAACCTCGTTTTGGTCCGTTCGAAGTAGGTTATACAATAATCTCGTTGTCTACAAAATTGACTGAACTTCGTGCGGTTATAGCGTTGTAATATCACATCGCGCACCAGTGCAAACGATAACAGTTTATTAAAATATCCCAATAAAGTAAAACCATGGCCCAACTATATTATCATTTATTAATTATTATCATTACATACTCGTATATAAAGCTGGGTTCACTCGAGTTTACTACTTGGCCGAGTCATTAAAGCAAGTTGCTAAATCGAGTACTAAATTGCATCTAGTGTGGGTCTAAACACAGTACAGTAAAATTGATTATTGTTCATTCTAGTGGTGATTTTT